GGAATCTCACAAATGAGTACCGGCGATGACGGGCGGCGAGTCTGATTGGAGCCCAACACATGCATATGCAGCTCTTGCACAAATCACTCGTCGCGAACTCTGGACCAAGTCCCAAGTTTCCGAGTCGAGTCACCGCTGGGCAGTCTTACCAATCCATCTGATCGACCTGCTGCTTTCCTTGCCCAGTCCAATTGGCATATCCACCGCTGGCTACATCCCTTGCTAGATGCAAGCCCATCCATAGCTCGGACCGTGGGCGGCCCAGATCTGGCGTTGAAGATGAAGTCGAGCCTGGAGACAATGATACGACTCATGCGAGAACGGTGCCATGCCGACGTCACTTGTTGTGTCTACGCCGCCGTGCTGCTTTTGCAGACCTCCAAGGGCCCGCCTCGTGCGATGCGGCCAAAGCAGCCATACGACCGTGTCAGTGGTGTCCCGGTGCAAGGCTGAGCTTCACAACAACAGTGAAGGTGTAATCGCTGAGAATGCACGATGCGTCTTTATCTCCGCGCTGCACCGGACAAAATGAGTCATCCGGAGACTCTGGTGTGCTCCTCGCCCATTCTATATTGGCAGGCTATTCTGAAAGAAACTGGTAGGATACCGAAGCTCCACGCACGAATGCGCATCGACTTCCCCGCTTGGACCGTGCGCGAAAAGCACATGCGCAAGGCCCTCGCCGCCCTCGCACCGCCAAAAGACACCACCCCACCCCACCCGTCCTCGCAGCTCGTCAACGGCCTCGACATCGCGTCCAGACAGGAGCTGCTCATCACGTACGTCAACCCTGCCGCGGGGTACGCCACGCACCGCACCGGGCTCGGGTTCGTGTGCCGGTACGCGCGCTGCGTCGAGGAGGGGCGCGAGTGGATGCCGCTGGAGGCGCCGGAGGGGTTGAGCAATTTGGCGAGCGAGCTGAAGGCAGGGTTTGGCGTCATGTAGGCGCCTGTGTGTTGGGAGGAGGTGTTCGGTGCTAGGTACTGTATTTGTGATTAAAAGTCGTGTGCGACACTGATAAACGATTCTTGTACGGCCTCAACGGAGTGATTGGCTTTCATGTACCTGCACGATATTAGTATGGTTCGCCGATCAGTGTGACTGTTGCAAAAAAAACGCACCACTTCTCTCCGCCACGTCCGCCAGCGCCTGAATGAATCTCGAAGCGCATCCGTTCTGCGCCCACAGAGGGCTTGAGTATGCAGTTCTTTACTGCCATCGCACCGTGTGAGGCGAAGGCCTCATCATATTGGTGGCGGTAGTCTGAAAAGTACGTTAGTGCGTAGGGTGGAGGGGATGAAGGAGAAAGAACGGATAGCGTGCACGTATAACCCTGAATGCTTGAGCGAGAGTGATTAAGTCTTCGCTGCAATCCCATCCAAGCTCGAGAATAACCCCAAGTCACGGCTGCACGTCGAGGAGAACACAACCTAAACTTCCACGAGGACGAAACGACTGCAGCAATCGACGACCGCGAATCCAGGATGCACACTTCGAAAGGGCTAAGCCCCTGCCTTCCCCAATTTCGAGAACGACATCAAACTCCTTAACTCCCCTGACCAGATCGAGCCCACCTCAAACGACGCCGAGCGCAAAAATACCCCAGCACACGATGGGGAACCACCCCACAACACCCCTGCAGGAGGGGCTAAGCTCCCACCCTCCCGAACATTGGGAACGACTGCGAATTCCCTAACTCTGCCCCTCGAGGACGACTCCAATGCAAACCATGGTGAGCACGAAAAGACCGCGGCGGCTGACGCCCACGACATCCAGGAGGGATGTCCCGAAAGGGCTAAGCCCCACGGGAAGTAGATATGGAGAACGACCAAAAATGGTCGAGGAGGGAAGAGGCCGAAAACAGCCGATGAGTGTAAGCACCTTAGGTGCTTGTGCTGGGAGCCAGCCCCAAGTGGAAGAAGAAATAACGCCAGGCGCAGAGGAACAGAAGAAGGGGGTGTTATGGAGCAGCAGAATGTGTTCACCATCGCTCGGCAGCGGTGGTTAAAACAAGCAGGCGAAGCGTCAAGTGGAAATTGCCTCTGACGTGTGTCCGAATCCGTGTGCTAAGCAAAAGGCGACGATAAAGGCGTCCCCCGCATCGCACCCAGTCCCCGCGCCCAAGAGAAACCCGCCCCGCTGCGCAGAAACCCCGCGCAATCGAAGCACAAAGAAAAAAGAAAAAAGAAAAACACCCCCAAAAAAACTCACCCTCAACCCGCCGCAGCGCAACCGCCAACAAACTCTGCGCCGTGCGGAGCATGCATTTTCAGCCCGCGTCGGACGTCCAGCCGTTCATGCCGCTGAGAGGCCACCGTTTTCCTTGGTGGTGGTGTTGGCTGTGTCTGAAAGAGGAATGAGTGATTTGGAAAGAGAGGGAGGGAGAGAGAGGGGGAAAGAATTATGGGAAAAAGAAGGGAAGGGGGCGAATTAGGAGAGGTAGAAGTATAAAGAGGAGATAATAATCGGATAAATGACGATCACATAAACTAAAGGAATAAACGCGAGCAAACGCAAACGAGACCATCGCGGGTAAAGAAAGATAGAGAGGATCAGGTAGTAATGAAACGGGGGAGTACGTCAAGCATGAAGACGTGAATGGAAGTGAAGGAGAGGGTAAAGATAAACAAGGCGGCGTGCAGCGTAACAAGGGAATATGAGCAGTGATAGAGTAAGCATGAGCGCCGCGGATGGGTATAGGGGCGGTAGCGGGGAAACACAACGGGGGATGTACAATCGTGAATCCTGTCTTAATCGTGGAAGTAAGAAGATGGCGGTGGTGATCTCGGAGCAGATGGGGAAGCTTGTAGCGAGTAGCCAGTGAGATAGGGAACAGATGAGGGAGGAGGAGGGAGACGATGCACAGAAAGAAGAAGGGAAAGAAGAGAAAAGAAAAACCAAAGAAGATAACGCACCCTCGAATTAAACCCATAAATCACATGACTCCCCGCCTGCGAATGCCCCGACTCCCTCCTGCTCCAGCAGATGGCGGTGTAATGCAGACCGCGGTGTAGCTATTGGAGGGTTGTGTGACTATCCTCTTAATAACAACGTGCTCGGCCTCTGGGGATTTTATATGATGTGATTATAGTAGGGAATTCTGGTTTAGACTAATGCCTCTTGGGGAATGTGTGTGTGTGTGTGGGATGCCAAAGATGGCTGGAAAGTGTGTGCGTGGGATGCCAAAGATGGCTGGAAAGTGTGTGCGTGGGATGCCAAAGATGGCTGGAAAGTGTATGCGTGTGTGTGGAAAGCTTCCTGGATAATGTTTCCGGAGAGCTTTATATCGTTAATTCCGGGTGATTGTCCGTTGCTTGTGGCGCGGGGCGTCCCTGGAAATTATATCCGTGTCCTGGCTTCGTCGTTCTTATGACGGCCTAAGTTAGCTAAAGAAAGGTAAGAATGAAAATACTGTCTCCTTGTCCTAGAATTCCTGTTAGGGGTTTCTAGTCTCCTGGATCCCGTAGCTCTCGCTCGTTATCTCTTCTGCGCTCCTCCCCTTTGAACGTGCGCAAATTCGATAACTTGGTAAAACCCGTAGGAGGTACCGCGATTGGTTACGACGACACCGGATACTCGATTGTTCGATAATACGGGCGGCGGTTTATCCGTGGTGATTCTGGTGCTAGTCGCCCTCGTCTTGTCTTCTACACGGCGTGGTGCCTGCGAAGGTAGTGTCGATTACGATGACTAGCTGGAGTGTAGACTTGGGATGCCTGTGATGGGGGCACCTTGCAGAAGGAGGTATGAGAGTAAAGTGGCCCTGGTGTGGGACAAGTGAGGGGAGTTGTGGTCAAATGCGTGAACGAGGACTGAATTGCTTGTGGGGGTACAAGTGGGGGAGGGAACAAAGCCCAGTAATTGACTGACTACCTCCTTCTTTCGCCTCTCCTTTTATATCTCTCCATCCTTGCCTCGAGGCGCCTTCTTGTGCCTGGAAACACCCTGTAGCACGCGGCGCCGGGCGTCTCTGGGAACAAAGTAGCTGCCTGAACGGTTTGGTCGGAAGGTTATTAGGTGATTTGGTAGCTGGAGGGTTCGTCTGAAGACGGTATTTGATATTTTCCTTGGTTTGCCGAGTGTCCGCCATGTGGAGCACTGTCCGTACATTTTGTCCGGTGAGTTATTACGATATAATTCGGTGAGAGGGCGGGGTGAGGCACTGCGGAGCCGCGTGGAGGTGTCGTTCATGGGAGAAAACATGTTTTGTCGTGCGCCAGAGGTGGTGGCAAGTTCGTCCAGAGAGCTTTGTTACGTTATAGTTCGGTAGGCGAGGATTGATCTTCGTATGTGTCTGGAAGTATCGTCCCGTCAGGTCATGTTGGTGGAAAGTAGGGGGAGAGCGTCGCTGCCTTCCCTGCTGTATCAAAATCTGAGCGGCTGGATGCCCTCCTTTCGCAGTATAAGCTCTTTTCACGGAATAACTGTCTCATTTTCCGGCGCTGAGCCCGTTTTGTCGCGTAAAACTGACTTCGGTGCGCGTAGGTCCCTCTTTCTCGCGTCCGGTCGTACCCTAGCGTCGGTAATTCGGCGGCTTCCTCGTCCTGCTGTTCGAATGGTCTTTTACTTATCCTTTCGTCGTGTTTTCCACGCATAGAACACGTCCAGAGGGCGTGGACGCACAGCGGGAACTGTATAACTCGAGTTCCGCTTCGCTGGAGTCGCGTGTGCGCAGGCTTCTTGTGTGCTGAGGAGTAATAGGTGCCTGCCTGAGTCCGTAGATGGCCTACGGTGTGGCCTCCGGCCTGCCGGGCACGGCACAACACGTCTGGAGCGGCATAATGCTTGCGCCCTGGGTTCGTAACCTCCTCCGGAGCGCGTTTTCGTGCATCCTATCCTTATTTCTGTGTTCCTGCGTGCGTTCCTGATTTTATGAGGAGGCCGTATCCCGTTCCAAGTCGCGAAATGAATATGTTCGTCGAAGTCCGCGCCTTGCTTTTCTTGATTAGTTCTATATTTGGCTGCCCTCCCCCTTCCTTTGTTACTCTGCAATCATATCGTCCGCCTAGCTCAACGGTTAGAGCGTCAGACTCTTAATCTGAAGGTAGCGAGTTCGATTCGTGCTCGGGGAATTTCCCAGAGCCTTTTCCTTTTTCACGACTTATCGCTTGGCTTTTTGCAACGGTCCCGTGGCGCAAGGTGCGCACCCTCTTCCGGTCCTTGAACAATAATCGTTTCGGAGGGTACCCAGGTTCGATTCCTGGATGGGGCGTAACTGACTCGAAACCTTTTTGCTGTTGGCTTGTTATCGGTCCGGTGGCACAGTTGGTAGTGCGCCGTTGCTGGGTATTCCCTAGTAGACGGAGGTCCTTGTTCGAATCAAGGTCGGATCATGGGCGGTCTTTTCGTGTGATTTTTAATTCCCTTGTCGTTCCTTTAATGCTTTTCGCGGTCCGGTCTCTTTTTTACTCGTTCCGGAGGTGCTTTCCGATTCAAGGTCAGACCGTGCGTTCGACGGCAGGTGTTGGTGTTTTTGGTTGTTCCAGCGATCCGGCAAGCTTCTTTACTGTGGTCCCGGAGCGGGTCCCATTTTACTGTTAAGGCAAGGTTCCGGAGTCGACACAAAGTGGAGCCTCACAGCGTCCTACAAAGGTGGACACATTGGGAACCCCCGATACTCTGGCCGGTCGACTAACAGCCGACTCATCATCCAGCAATCTGGAGCCACTGAGACGACGAGAGATACCGCCTCATCTATCTTCTAGAGGTGTTCCTCCCGTCTCTGGACTTGCTCCGCCGTCGAGGACGACCTCCTTTGCGTTCGGTAGCAGAGTTCCGTCTGCTCCGGACACCAGGACGGCTTTCCCAACGAATTCATCTCCTCCTTCAACGCCGGCAAGACCGTTGTCGGCCCCTGCTACTCCTCGCTCTCGCTCCTCTCATCCACCTCAAACTCCGCTCACCCCGTCGGCTCCCTCGGCTAATAGGCGACACTCCGCTCCTTTAGGCACCCCCATCACTGCTCGACGTTCCTCGAGCGCCTTACCAGGGAATCTATCACCCATCGCGGAACGCGCTTCCGAGGGTAGCGAACTCGGTGTTCATATGAATACTTCATCCGTGTCTCAAGAGCCCGCGCACAGTTCGCTCGCCGCGGATACGTCGCATGTCCAGGAAGAGGACGATTCGGGCTACTTACCGCGCGAGGAGGCGCTACGTCGCTCCTTTTACAAAGACGACGACGAAGGGTTGGAGGAGGATCAACCTTCTCTATCCGAGAGGCTTGCCCTCTTAATCGGAAGGTTGACGTTGGAAGATCGCGACATTGTTGACGAAGGAAGTGACCGAGACCCCCGTACTTATCGGTATCGAGTAATCCACGAGTTGATGAGTACTTTTGCACAAGCCACTTATGACTTGCAGTGGTATCTCATGGAAGCTGCTAGAGTAAATCCGACCAGAACCAAGTTCTTCAAAGTGGATCCGGGACAAGCTTTGATACCTTCCTTGGAAGGAGCTTCGGATCCGCAACAAGTACAAGTTGCATGGGATTTACTGCGAACACGTTTCGTGCTGGGCCAAAGATTCTTCAATAAATATGTGCAGGAAGCCAGGAAAGGGAGAATGTTAATAGGATCCCCTACCTCGACTCGTACAAGTGTGATTGAGGAATACGAGGCTCTGGAGGACCGAGAACAGAAGATGCGTCACTTGATCATGTATTATCCCAATCTCCGGGATCCTCTGCCATCCACCCGAGAACACATTCAAAACTGGAGTGCAGCGTGGGGGCCGTTGTATGAGCGACGCGCCTCCAGCGCTTCGCCTCAGAGAGGCGCGGAACCGCTCAGCTCCGGTTCGCAGAACTTCGCAAATGTGACACACCGCAATACGGGCAAGCAAAAGGAAGTGTGGCCGAACTCCGAGACGAGGATCGCTCAAGACTTCAGTGCGGAAAGAACTATATTCAGCCCAATTCCGACTCAGCAAACAGTAGTGCACGATCTGTTAACTGCCAAATCGTATCCGAGCCCCTTGAAAGCTTCGTCTGCGAGTGAGGAACCTGATCCTAACTCCACGTTGATGGGTCCGACGCCTCGATACAAATCGTCTTCCTCCTTCTTGAGCCAGATGGAGAACCAAAGTGTCGTAGCCATCCGTTCTGTCCCTGAATCACCAGCAGAACCAAATATTCTTAAAAATTTATTAGCTGGTCCGACTGGAGCGAAGGGTGAACGATACAGGGAAGTCTTTGGGGACGGCGGAACCGGTAACGCATCCTCCCGGCTGCCCGCTATGCAGTCTACCTCCGCGAGCTCCTGGAGACGACCTCCGGAAGCTCAGCCTTTCTCTCAACAGCCTGCCGAAAACATACAAGCTCCAGTAGCATCCAGGCCTTCACAGAATCCGGGATCCTATGTTCCTCCCCCGATGCGCATGTTCTCTACCTCAGCCGCAGTAAATCTTGCCACCACAGTGCTTACCAGCACTCCTGCTGCTGCAACTCCCTCTCAGCCTTCCAACGCTCCTTTCAATCCACCACCTCCGAATAATCCGTATCCTCCTCCTAATTCCCCTTCGGGCGGTGGAGGTGGTCCTTTGGGTAACGGAGGAGGCGGAGGGTTTGGAGGTGGAGGCCCGGGCAGAGGTGGAGGCGGTGGGGGCGGGGGTGGAGGAGGCTACAGCGGCGGCGGAGGAGGTTTCGGAGGAGGTTTCGGTCCGCATAGACCAATAGGACCTCCCGGTTCTGCTGGTGATGCAGGCCCACCAGGTCCTCCTGGCCCTCCTGGCGCGCCGGGAGGTGGAGGAGGAGGAGGAGATCCACCAGACCCCAATCGGCCCCCCGCTCCTTACGGAACAGCTATTCCCACCATTGACGTAAAATTGAAACAAGCTGATTTACCCAGCTGGGATGGAAATCACGATACCGCAATAAAGTATTTTTGGGATGTGTCCCAGAAGGCGGCGTTGCAGGGTGATTTACCGCAGGCGCTAGGGTATTGGCTGGGGAGTAGATTAGTCGAAGGGTCTGACGTGCAGCTATGGTATTCAACGTTACCGGGGACCGAGCAAGCCCAAATGCGTACGCATTGGATCTTGTATCTGCAGGGAATCAAGGAATGGTACCTAGGCAACACCTGGCAGCGCAAAATGAATCGTCAGTATGAAATGCAACGGTTTAGACAGAAGGGCCACGAACTGGAAACCCCTCAGGCGTTCATAGGGAGGAGGACCATATTCACTCGCATGTTGGTCCACTCCGACGACGGCAGCCCGGGAGAAATATATCATTTCATGGACAAAGCTCCCATTTCGTGGAGCCCTATTCTGGTACTCGAAAACATCATCTCGACCAAGGTGTTATGGCTGAAAGTAACCGAGCACGAAAAAGCGCTGGTATACGCGTGGAAGTCGGAAGCCTCTAAAATCCTGACGGCCGATAATCTTGGAGCGACTCTGAAGTCTCTGGGATTCAATGCGGAACGCACAGATCGATCGAGGCCATTTGTGAGGCAGGCCCACTTTTCAGCGGTGGAGGAAGAGGAGGGGAATCTTGAAGTTCCTGAAAGCGAAGAAGATCTTGCACCTCAGTCCAACGAGGACGAAGTATTGAAGCAGGCTTACCAAGTTTTAAAGGAACATCAAAAAGGACAACCTCCTCGGACGTACCCCTTTCCTAAAAATGACCACGTTGTGACGAAAATGGGCAAGCTACCACCTGGGCCTTGTAGGCTGTGTGGTAGTGAGAAGCACTGGAATCGTGAGTGCCCCAATTACATACTCTACGACGCAGGAGCGAAACGCTCGGGGAATCTCACCGAAGGCCGAAGGCCAAGTGAGGACGACGAGATCTATAACAACGCTTTCACTGTTCTGCTGAACCAGACGTTAGCCAAGTCCGCCATAGACTATTCCCATTTTGAGGCGGCGGCTTCTGCGACTAAAGTCGGGAAGCATAAGACCACCAGTCCCGCAGAAATTATCAGCCTCCCGCCTCTCGAATCGTGGAATGACGAGGAGAGGGTCGAAGAGGCTGAAAAGATCCAGGAATTTCTGCACACGACACTTGAGGATCAGGACTCTCTTTACCGGCATGATACAGACGTACAGGACAACTTCGACGATACGGAGCGGCAGCGCTCCTTAAAAAACCCAAAAGTCTCAATGGTGGAAGTTGACGAAGATGAACCGGAGAACGAGAGTCCACTTGACCCCCTCCTAGTCATGGAACCCGTGGAGAGCGAGGAAGAGCGAGCCAGTTCCGAACCTTCAGACACAAAGATAGACTGGAAGAGCGCGCGTCGCGCCAAGGAATCAGCCAAGTATAGCAAGATGGCCGAAGATTTTTGGTTGAAAGACGGGCATATGTTTCCGGAGGACGAGGTAGCCAGCAACACCGAGGACTGGTGGGAGGAAGAGAATCACGAGCTAGAGGAGGAGCACAAAGCTTTTGCGAGCTCAGCCAGGCTCAGAGAGCGCCCAGAAGGCGAGGCCCTCGCGGACAAACAAGCAATCACATTGCGCGCTCCCTTGGAATTAACACCAGTCCGTCTTCATAAACGCTGCACCGCCGTGGCAGGGCGGTCCGCCATGGGCACATCGGTATTATCCGTAAGAGGATGGGTAGGCTCTCTGAACACGGAACCTATAGACATACGTATCAATTCTTGTGCCGACGTCACTTTAATCTCAAAAGCTCACTACGAATCCTTGCCTAACAAGCCAGCTCTCAGGATAGGCATTCCTATGAAGTTACTTCAACTGACACAAGAGGAATCTGGGATAGAGGGTTATGTGAGACTCCCCATCTACATGATGTCAGAGGAAGGGGAATTGGTCGAATCTGAAGCTGAAGCTTATGTGGTACCTGGCATGAGCGTGCCAATTCTGCTCGGCGAGGATTATTCGTTGACGTACGAAGTCGCCTTGACCCGGAATGTGGAACACGGAAGCAGAGTTCATTTCAGCAACTGGGAGTACACAGTCTGAGCAGAGCACGTCAGTTGCACCAATGATTCAAGCCGAATCCTACTGAGCAATAAGCACCTGAGCGGCGGGGACAAGCGGAAGCGTCACCGTTCGAAGCTGGTGCGCCAGAAGAAGAAAGCCCGGCAATTTGCAGCGGAGAAAT